CAGACAGACAGACAGACAGACAGACAGACAGACAGACAGACAAACAGAGACAGACACCAAGACAGAAATTGTCTCAGGGGCGAAACTGCAGGTAGCGCTGTCCTGTTGAGAAAAGATCTGAAACAGACTAGTTGCTGAGCAACCTCCACCTTCAGTGGAGAGGGGAGATGATTAAAACTGACAAATACAGGGAAACTAGCAAATAAGCAACAGAAGCCCAGTTCAACATCCTTCCTTCTTCTCTGTATGAGGGAAAACAAGACTGCTGTATGCTAAGATAAAGGCGCATTTCAGAATACTGCTAAAACAGGCTGGTATAAACATACTCTCCCTTCTTCCTCCTAGAAAATACTGGAAGGTGACTCTCCTTTGCTCTCCATTTTTGGTGTCAGCCACAGATAGGGTTGTGAGGAGGTAATGGGTAGGAAAGAAGTTCAAGAATCAAAGTACTAATGGAAAGGACACAAGAGGCTGAGATGGAGGATGACTAGTGACCAGAGGGGAGGGGCCAAGCCAGCATCTCCCCAAACTCCTCTGATCACATCAGCAGCAGGTCAATTGACCTTATCTCCAAGATAATGGATGACCAGGAACTACCAGTTTTACACATCTTGAAGCTGTGATGGAATCCTGTTGGCTTAAAGGGAAAAAGATAGCTAAAGACAATTTAGAACTGTACAGGTGGTCCTCATTTAGTGACCACAATTGGGACCGGGAACTTGGTCGCTAAGTGAAACCACAACTGTGCTTATGATCTTACTTCAGCTTTCCTTTGCTTTACAGACCTGCAAAGGTCGTAAATGCAGGGACTGGTCACATTACTTTTTCATCACCATCGTAACTATGAATGGTTGCTAAACAAGGCAGTTGCTAAATGAGTACTACCTGTATCACCAACGGGCTGGGAACAAGTTGAAAATTGATGTTGCCAGAGCATGATTGTGCTGTTGTAAAGTGCAATGAGTAGCATTAGTCAGAATGCGTGGCTACTGCTGATGTCTTGCTACCTGAGTCACCTGGCCACATCACCTATTTCTCTCTCTTTTCCAGGACCTGCCTTTTTGTGCAAAAGAAGACGGGGAATTCTTTAGTCCCATTCTCCTCCAAAGGGCCACGGAACCGCTGCCAGTGTCTCGGGGGTGAGGCATGGGCTGTAGCCTACCGACATACCCGTGTGGTGATCTGCACCACACGTGGGGCCCCCCATCACCGTCCTCTGCACAATGGGGGTGGAGTTGCTGGAGGAGATGATGAGACGTCCTCCGATTGCTCGTGCCTGTGCCACAGCTATGAGAACCTTTCTTCCACCAACCAGTCCTCTCTCAAATCTCTCATCTCCACCATCTGAGGAGCTCAGACCCTGCAGTTTGTGACTTTTACTGCCAGACAATTAAGGCGGACCTTCCTTGGTTCTTTAGGGACAAAAAGACTGGGGCCTTACAGTGTTTAGCCACTCAAGATGGGAGGCAGTGGCTCTATGACATAGTGGAAGTCCAAGCTTTGAGGCTGAGAACCACATTCCAAAAAACCACAGGTCACTTGGTAGCAAGGTGCATGATGGTATTCCCTACATCACAGCTTTCTTGAGGCAGGAAAAGCCTGAGGGAGTGGAGATCTTCTTATCATGTCTCCTTGGGGAAGACACACAGGCCTAATTTAATGTTAAAGCAGTCTTTATGGCACTGGAATTTTGTAAACAGGTCCTGTTGGACAAAGAGCACTGGTAGAAATCCCCATCATAGCAGGAACTGGTGCCCCATGGCATTATGGGAAAATGTAGGCCTGTGTGATAAGATACCTGTTCTTTATAATTGATGGAAGGGGGGAAACTTGGGAAAGGATGGAGGCCTGGGAATAGTAATCATGGTGGCTACATCTCCAGAAAGGCAGGAGATGGGGGTCAAAAGCTTGATTCCACATGGAGGGCAATGAATTTTTGGACACTGACTAGGGAAAACGGTTCTCATGTGCTGGATATATCACTGGGGAGGCATTTAGCTGCAAACAGAGCCTGAAGACCTTGGGACACTTGGAAACATTATTCACTTGGCTTCAGGGAATTTTGTAGATATACCAAAGAATGAGGAAAAGGAAAACTAGCTGTCCTGTGTTCCAAGGTACAGTATGGGTTTTGGAACTCTAAGCCTTCATTAAATTATTTTCATATTGGCAAGGATGCTTCTGTCTTATCGTCTGAAGTCATCAGCTCTGTTGGGTTGTGGTTCAGAGCTTGATCGATTTTCTGCTTTCCTGAACTGGGTAGGAGATACACTGGATTATCCATTCTCCACTGAATATGACTCATTTCTCTGTGCGTTCTGCCATTAGCAATGGGGAACTGAGAGATCTTGAACAAGAGCACAGAAGCTGGAAGAGGGTGGGGAACCTTGCTGCTTTCCTCTGACTTTCAGCAATCCTGTTTCGGATTCCTGGTTTCCTACTGATTAACTGGACCTGCAGCGTGTTTGGGTTGTCCCTAAAACTCTATGAGCCCTACAGCTGTACCCCTGGCTTGGGCTGGGTGTGCATCCATGCTGTTCTTCCCCGAAAAGGTACAGAATATAGGGTGGCAACCAAAACCATTAGGGGCCTTGAGCAATTCCCCAATGAGGATTTTCACAATGTTTGGGATGAATTTAATGAGGAGAAGGTGAGCAAGAGAGCTAATGACAAAGTTGTATAAAATTTTGCATGGAATGGATACTCCTCAATAGTAGAACATGAGTACATGCAGTGAAGCTGAACAGGGGGGTGTCAAAGGGCAGGTAAAAGTACTTCATGTCATATAGCAGAGCCTAACTAGTGGGAACGGGATCTTCTGCATGCAAACTGTTCTTTTATCGAGTCACAGAGTACCATTGGTGGTGGTGTGGGGGGAGTCGGTGGCTGTCAGCAGTTCTACAGTGTGCCAAATTCTTTGGTATTCCTTGCCTGGTCATAATGGCTGCCAGCACAGCAGACTTTAAAAGAAGGGGACAGAGCAATCTGCTATTGGTCTCATCTCCTGTTTGGGGTACCCGGTGGCATCTGGTTAGCCACAGTGTGAAACAGGTTGCAGGGCAACTCTGCCATTGATTTAATCCAGTGTTTCTCAAACTTGGCAACTTTTAGATGAGTGGACTTCAACTTCCATGGTGGCTGGGGAATTCTAGGAGTTGAAGCCCACACATCTTAAAGTTGTCAAGTTTGAATAACACTGAACTAACCTATCAGGTTTTTAATAATATACTTGACCTATCTTCAGGAGGAAGCAAGGGAGGACCTTATTCTTTCAAAATCTATGAAAATCAACCTTTTGGCGTGTGAATCCATTTTACTGGCTCGTGTAATTCTGCAGCTGGGAATGGGGTGTGGGTGGGAATCTGCTCCAGCTTTTATTGGCTTAAAAACAACATCCCCTAGACTTTCCCAACCCTGGTGCCCTCCAAATGATGATGTTGTTAAATACTTTCCCCAATACAATACAAATCAGACAAACACAGCAGTTACAAAAATGTATTACTATAAAATTAGTTGATAACTTAACAGACAAACCTGTAAAGCAAGATTAAGCGAAACTAAGAGTTACAATCCTAGATCTTCTGGAGCACACCAGGTTTGGAAAGACTGATTTAAAGGATTTGTTTGAAGGAGCATCCTTTGTGCATTGCAGGGAGGGAACAGTGTTAATTAGGGAACATCACTCTGTGTGTGTGTGTGTGTGTGTGTGATTCTTCATAAACAGAATGTATGGAATGTTTCAGTTCCAATCATTTTAATTGCAGGATCTACAGCCTTGTTTACATACATGCCTTTTGTCAGTAATAGGCACAAGAGCCCAGTCTCTGGAATACTTCAATGGCTTGCAAGAAGACATGAGTCCAGACATTTCTGAGACCTGCAGAGAACTGTGTGCTTCTTTGTCTAAAGACCACCTCAAATCCCTTTATATATTTTGACTGTTGTTATAGTTATGCTGTGGCCACGACTAAATCTAAACATAAGACCGTGACTCCGGGAGCTGTTTTCAGCTGTAGGGCTCAGCCATCAAATATGTGAAACAATAAAGAGTGCCTCTGAACATACGTAAAGTGCTTTCCTTCACCAATTGGTAACTACATCAGCTGCCTGGGCCAGAATTGTAAGGCAGGGGCTGGCAAATTTGTCTCTGATGGGTCCCACCCAATGTAGGTTGGCTCTCAATCTTAGGATCATTTTGTGGCAGCTGGAGATGATTACAAGCCACCATTTCAAATTTCCTGGAAGGATGCTGGACTGGGCATTCTAGGAAATGTTGATATCAGCCCATCTGACCGTTTCAAATACCGAACCGTGCCGGGAAGGGGCCTGTTTCCACAAATGGGACCTGGGTTAAATACCCCATTACTTCTCCGTAAGCTTTTTTTTAGGTTTTGCTGGATCTCCAGGCCCTTATTTTAGAAACATTTACTACAGAGCCTACATTCACATATATTTGGTATTTGTTCTGTCTTTTCAATGAATTGAGCCCATATCTGAAACCTTATCAGGCCAACCTCTCTTCCATCCTACTGTATACATAATTGACATTTGTTTAAGATCAATTATTTATTATGAAATAATTGTGCCTCGTGTATATTAAGGGAAAGCAAGTATCCATTAAAATTAATTGCATGTACCCAGATACAGACATAGTTTGAAAGTATAGATTGGTTTATTTAATGAAACACATTCAGAAGCGAGCTGTGTATAAGACAGTACATTTTTTAAAAATGTTCCTACTGAAATTAAAATTGTCTTCTTTCCTGGAGGAGGATAGAGTCTACCACACACAAGGAAAACAGTCATCTTGCTGATACCAGCGATTGGGTGATAGTGTACAGTAACACAAGCAGCTGAAGAATCCCAGAAGTCCCAGAAAGACATTATCCGGTGTGCAATTGGAGGAACAGCCATTTGACCTTCTTTGACCTTTGGCCAGGGAGTGGAGAAGCTGATGCCCCTTTACATCCCCTGCAAGTTCCTGAAAGCTGTTTACAAACCCCATTTAGTGCGATCAATAGAGAGGAAAAGAGGACTTGATTTACCCTCCACTGAGAATCGCTTGCAAAACCAACAAATTTGGGTTTAGTAAGTTTCATAGCCTGCCAATCCCTCAATTCCATATTCTTATGCACACAGAGGTTATACCAGAAGAAAGCAGAATTGCATATATTGGATTAATGGAATGCTAACAGTAGTGAATATATTGCAGTTATGCCTTTCTCTTAGTTACCTCAGACTTTCTCAGTAATAGCCCAACAGGTTGTGTCTGAAGTGTGCCTCTGCTTGGCTCGCCTCTCATTTAGAATGGCCCCGAAGCCTATTTTATTTCAGTGGGCCTTTGAACCATAATTTGGTTGTAGGCAACCACTGATGGTTTCCATGATTATTTCTAATATTAATGCTACATTACACTTTTATTTGTTCTGCACTACCTTGTTGTGCACCACCCAGAGCATAAAAATCTGGTGGGGGGAAAGGGGGTGGAATAGAGGACCAATTATGATATATGTGTACGGATTACTTGTGTATTTGGATTGGATGTGTACTTGGGTTACTTGTGTACTTGGGTTACTTGTGTATTTGGATTGGATGCTGAGACAGAGGTACAAAAGGCCAGGGTTTGCATAATGCATACTTCATCGTTTTTGGGGTGAGCAGATACTTATGGCCCAGACTTATGACTGGGGCAGCGTACACTCCATTGGGCAGGATTCAAAACGGATACAATAAAGAATAAAGAAATAAATTGTTTCACACAGATAGGAGTAATATAGCGCATTCCTCATGAATGTGGACATTTTCTGGGTGAATGGAGAAAGAATCTGGACCTTGTTTCATAAATTGTTACCCATCAAGAGAAAGTGAAGGAACGCAATTCCAAACTGCATCAATCTTGTATCAGTATCCCCATCCTGTCTTCCGTATATGAGGAGAATCTTCTATATGATTTGAATTCCCTCTCTCCATAAGGGCAAAACAACTTACAGACTGGATGTTTCTTGTTCAAAGTGCATTTCGGCCACACACCCGCTCTGGTGTCAGAGGAACCACTCTCAAGCAGTCAGCAATTGGGGGAAAATAATATGCAGCTAGACTAACACACAGGGCTGTTGTGAAGATTATTGAGGCCTGACCTTTTCTGAGTTTGATAGCTAAGCAAGATGGTTAGGATTTGGAATTGCAGGGCTGTGACATCGCAGAAGAAAGCAGTATCACACCGGTTCCATCTTGTTGCAAAGAAAACTGCCTGTCTGAGTTTAGCTCAGCTCTTAACATATTTTGGCATTTTTAAAAGCAAAAATAAACCTAAGCTAGGGGGAAAGTTCTATTCACCTATACTGAGGAACCCTTTTATAGAGTCACTCAGTCCCCCAGATAGTCTGCAGGCTGTGAAACTCGAGCAGTTTCATTATGATGAACCATTTGGAAACTTGCAGGTGCTTTTGTCATCTCGAACTGGCTTGTTTATGGCATTATTTTAAAATGGGTTTGGGGAAAATCTACAGGAGAAAAGGTGTTATACAACCACTTTAAAAATTAAATACAGTTTATCATATAAAGACGAGGAAGAGTCATCATAGTAATGCACCTCCTTTTACGTTGTAATAGAAATATGATGTAAAATAGATCAATGAGAGAAATCTTCTTTCAAGAAGGTTGTAGGGCTGCTCTTGAGGCGCCTGCGATTAACCGACTACGGTATTTTCCGATTAATTAGGATTCAGAGTCAAAAGGTGTTAGCCTTACACACCCTTCAGCCTTTGGGGGGCGTCTTTTGCCTGCTTCGGGCCATCTGCCGCGCGCGCCGCGCTACCCAATCACAGACCTCTCTGGGAGGAGACTAAGGGCGTGTCTCAATGCTTATGCAAAAAGCTGACGCTTATTAACAGCGGGCACTGATGGGAGGAGGGCCTACGGTTATGCTAATAATAGAGCGCTATAGTTTTGTCCCGGGCGGTTGATAGGCTCTCAAAATAGAATAGGTGTGGTTTGCATATCTACATCCTAGTATTAAGCAGCGCACAGAATCCTGGTTTGGACAAGTCCTGTGCACACCGAACTGCGGTGCAGAGATTATGCAAATGAGACCAGGGCTGTGGGCGGGGTTTGCGTGAGCGTATGCAAATCGGGAAGGGCAGGGCGCGTTGCCTGCAAGAGGCGCGGGCAAAGGCGGCGGCCGACACCCGTATCTATTATGCTAATGAGGTCGGTGGGCGGGGCAGAATTGTGAGCTCAGGCTGCGGAGGGGAAAGAGAGCGGGGGGAAGCCCAAGGAGGAGTCCCCGCCTGCAGCGGCCCCATCAGCAACGGCAGAAGCAGGAGGAAGGAGAGCTGGAAGGATGCAGAACCCGGGGAGAAGCTGACCCTGGGGGGGGAGCCCGGCCATGGCCTTCCTGGGGGGAGCCCGGCTCCTGGACTGGGCCAGCTCCCCCCCTCATTTGCAATTCAACCGCTTCGTGCTAACGGGCTACCGGCCGGTCAGCTCCGGGTCCGGTTGTCTCCGCAGCCTCTTCTACTTGCACAACGAGCTGGGCAACATCTATACCCACGGTGAGATGCGGCAGACGCTCCGGCGATCCATTCTTCCTCCCCCTGCCTTCTCTCCCCGCCGCTTCCGGGCTCCGGTGTGCCCCGATCTCCATGCCCGCCCG